TTTCCAGGGCTAAAAAGTAGTCTTATACGCCAGAAAATAAGGTATTTCCAAATTCCAACCTTGCATGTACATATATGAAACCAATGGCCTCACTGACACCATACATAGCTAGCTGACCCTTTTGCTAATATTAAATGGAGTTGATACATTCACTGGTTTATTTTATCCCTTAATCCTTAACACAGAACATCTTACAGCACAGCCATTAATTAATGGGAACTTGATAGGTCAACATCTGGGTAAATTCCAATGATTCAGTGGGTCTATTCCAGTTGGGACCAACAACCATGAATCTGCAATCTAACACAGTTGGCCCTCCACATATCCAGCTTTGACTTTTGCAGCTTTGATTATTTGCTGTTTTGATTAACATGTTCTCTTAAGGAATCTCTAGGTCCTCCAGTGCAACTTTGCTAGAAGATCAGTGCAACTTTGCCATAGAGTTGTTGTGCTGGAGAATCTAGATGGTATTAGAGAAAACACTTCTCTAGGCATTTGTAGGTTCTCCAGCATGATTTGGTGATCAATGTCTGGCAGATGTTGCACTGGAGGACCTAGAGATTTCTATCTGCTCTCTCAGATAAAAAGAATAGTGCTTTTTTCATTTGTGGTTTTTCCATTTTCACAGGGTCCTTCATCCCTAACTCCAATGAATGTGGAGGGACCAGTGTCAATGGGTCATGGAATCCAGGTCTGAACTTTAAAGGAGCTATTGTTATTGTCTGCCTTCAAGTTGTTTTAGACTTATGGCAATCCTAAGGTGAGCCTATCATGGGGTTTTCTGGGGCTGGGAAAGTGTGACTTGCCCAAAGTCACTCAGTGGGTGTCCATGGCCGATCAAATCCTGATCTCCCAGAGTTGTAATCAAGCACTCAAACCGCTATACCACACTGACATCTCAGAGAAGTCCTTTAAAGTTTGAACTGAAATTTGGAATGGATATGCTGTCCCACTGACATCAAAGTCATCTTTCTCCAAAGTCTGGTCCTAAGTTCCACTGAATTCCACAAGAGTCCATAAGCCATGTACAAACAGCTAGAAACACATATGGCCTAGGGCAGGGGTAGGCAACCTTTCCCCTTTAAGGGCCAAGGGACTTCAGCTCCCAGAAGCCTCAGCCATGTTGGCCAATAGTCCCATGTTGGCCAATAGCTCCTGGGATTCTGGGAGCTGAAGTCCCTCAGCCCTTAAAGGGGAAAGGTTGCCTACCCTTGGCCTAGGGGATCTTTTTTACCTAACCTGTCTCAGACTGGTTGGCCACTGGTATAACATACTGATCCGCTAGGTTGAGTATTGATCATATCCAAATGTCCTTACATGCTTAGAGAATGTAACAACTAAATTCTAGCAAAAGACCAGAAACATTTCATATTTCAGTATGCTTATATTTGACAATAGCTACAATGTCAGAACTTGTTCCTCAATAATAAATTGTTTAATAGAGTCAATCAAAAATGAAATTCCAGTTACTGTAATAAAGACTTTCATTGTCTTGCACATGAGTTTTAAAACAAAGACACTGTAGTCTATAAACAGTAATTAGAAAAGATGAAGAGAATTCCACGTTAATTCAATGTATCAAAATCCCTGTTGACATCCAAGGACCAATTATTTCACAGTATTGCACCTGGTGTCATAAAACTTTATAACAATATAACTGAAATACAAAACTGATTGAAACTGCTAATTGCTCTAAGTGCATTTCACAGACTGAGAACACTCTCAAGAAGAGATAATAAAGGCCCAGAGGCCATATCCAACCACATCTCTGGTAACCACCACATGGTAGCAGGATGGAACAGCATACTGAAAAGAGATAGTAAGCAATGAGTCTGAGGGGCCTAAATTCATTGAAAACACCAGATCCTGTCTGATCTTGGAAGCTAAGCAGGGTCAGCTTTGCATGGGAGACTGCCAATGAATACCAGGTGATGTAGGCTATATTTCAGAGGAACAAACAGGCAAAAACACCTAGGCTGCTACCACACTGCAGAATTCATGGAATTTGACACTGCTTTATCTGTCATAATTCCATCCTGTGGAATCTGAGATTCATAGTTTTTTGTAGCATCTGAGCTTTCTGACAGAGATAGCTAAATATCTGACAAAACTGCAAATCCCAGGATTTCATAACATTGAGTAATCACAGTTAAAGTTGTGTTAAACCGTATTAATTCCATGGTGTAGATGCAGCCTGAGTATTCCTTTTCAGAAAACCTTATGAAATTCATGGAGTTCCCATAAGTTAGCAGGCGACTTAAAGATATAACAAAAATCTAGTTAATATCTATACTACCTACAGTGGGTCCTTGGTATCTGCTGGGGTTTGGTTCCAGGACCTTTCTGTGGATACCAAAATCCATGGATGCTCAAGTTCCATTATATACAATGATATCCCTTATATCGAATGGCAGAAACAAGGTTTGCTATTTGGAATTGTGTGTGCGAATATATTCAAGCCATAGGTGATTGAATCTGTAGATGTAGGATCTGTGAATATGGAAGGCTGACTGTATATTATTTTAGAGAAACTTGTGGTCCTCCCAATACTGGACTCCAATTCCCATCAGCCCAAGCCAGCATAGCTAATGATGAGTAATGATGGTGGCATTCCATCATCACTTGTAGGGTCACATGTGGTCTACCTCTGCTATATAGTATAAATGACTACATAAACGCTCTTTTGAAAAGGACAAAGCTTTACAGATAAGAGATATATGCACATGTAATTAACAGAAGGGAGTTTGGGAGCAAATACAGATCACTTTAAGAATTTAAGGAAAAGTCTGATTTAAACAGGTTTTTTTTTAATTCAGTGGTTTGCATCCACAATTCCAGTAAGTGGACACTTCCATTCCCAGAAGGTGCATTGGGGAGAGAGAATTTCCTGTGATCCCTCTTCCAGCCCCTCCAATACCCCCTAACATATTTCTACCTTTTGGCAGAAATGGGCTGTGGCATTAATCTGCTTCCTTTTTAAATGCTTTAAGAGATGGTGGGAGTGAGCTGAAGTTCAGTGGGAGGAGAAAATAGAGACCCCAGAATATTTTAAAATTAAAATTTCAAATTTCAAAATATTATTTTTTAAAAAAAATGAATTTCTTTTAAAAAAATAATGTATTTATTCTTTTTAAATTTTCTTTAAAAACATCACATTTTAACCAAATCTTCACTATGCATATGTAAATACATTTAGGTTGTGCATATGATATTGTAATCTGAAGGTATAATTTTTAATTTTGATAGTTGTTTATGTCACAGCTATTCGCATTACATTCAGTGGTATATGGAATTACGATTACCAGTATTATTTGTGCCAAAAAGCATTCCTAGGGATTCTGTACAGTGTGAAATGGGAAGTGGTCAATGAGGGGTTGACATCATGAGTTACCGCACCAGTTGATACCGACCCTAGGGACATCAGTGCATGGAGGCCAACAGGTTGGCAAAGACTCTTCTAGCCCTTGTAGACCCTATGATAAGGGGCAAAATGTACTCCCATGGGGACTGCAGTCAGGAAATCAGAAGATTAAGTATGGGGAGGGTGGCTATGAAAGAACCAGAAAAGATTCTAAAATGCAAAGATAAACAACTCAGCACAAAACTTAGAATCATACAAGCCATCGTATTCCCTATTACCATGTATGGCTGTGAGAGCTGGACAGTTGAGAGAGATGATGGGAAGAAAGTCAATTCCTCTGAGATGTGGTGCTGGAGAAGAGTGCTGAGGATCCCATGGACAGCCAAAAGAACAAACAAGTGGGTCCTAGAGCAGATCAAGCCAGAAACCTCCCTGGAAGCCAAGATGAACAAACTGAGGCTGTTGTACTTCTGATACATCATGAGAAGGAAGGACTCACTGGAAAAGACAATAATGCTGGGAAAGGTGGAAGGAAATAAGAAGAGAAGAAGGCCACATGCTAGATGGATGGACTTTATTAAGGAGGTCACAGGTATGGGGTTGCAGGAATTAAGCAGAGCGGGGGAGGACAGAGGGTCTTGGAGATGTCTCATCCATAGGGTCACCATGAGTCGAGATCGACTCAAGGGCAGTTAACAACAAAATAATGTGCAATTACAGGGGAAATATGCCATTTTAAAGCAACATTCACACAAATCAAAATTCAAATCATGCAAAAAGTGGTGTTATGTTAGCTGATCTTAAAAGTGAAGGAAAGGTGAAGTCCAGGGCCCATTCATGTTCAAATATATCTAAGGTCCAAAACATACAGGCCCAAAGAAGTGGCTTCTGGACACTTTGGGTGCATGCCGTTTAGATAACACAACCCCCCAACACAGCCCGCTTTGGGAGTCTGCTGTGTGGTTCCCATGGTCTCCGCCCCATCACACCTGGAGCAGCCTTGGGCCGCTCCTTCCTGGCCATCTGTTTTACCCCTAAGTCTCTTCCCTATAACAAAGCACAATGCACAGACTTCATTGCTCTTCTCCACATATTATTCATGAATGATTTTAAATTGAAAAAAATAGCTACTGAACACAGGGACTCCTTTTCTAACAGGAAAATGAGTCATACCATATAGTCTGTCTGAAAGATAATGCTGGTGGAATTTCCTCCTGTACTAAGCTATTGCTGCATATGGAATAATTTACTAGCAGTTTAAAAGAGAATTTTTATTTTGTTTGCATTAAAGCTTAGCAACTATTTGGAGTGAATTTGGGAGAACAATTTGATGTTCTAAAGGCAGTAGTTGGGTTTGCCTGTATACTAACATTTCTCACATTCTTCAGCTCTCCAATTATTGTTGTTGTGTGCATTTCCAACTTATGCAAACTCTATGGTGAATCAATCACAATGTTTTCTCAGGCTGAGAGTGTGTGCCTCATCCAAGGTCACCCAGTGGGTTTCCACAGCAGAGCAGGGAATTGAACCTTGATCACTGGAGTTATAGTCCATTGCTCAAACCGCTACACCAGAGTGGCAATATAAAACACAAATCAATTGGTGTATTTCTTTTCAAAAGTTTTCATTCTTAAGATTACAGAGAAAACAAAGCTATAATCATCAATGAGAAAGTTAAAGGAAGCTAACACAGCAAGAAAGTAAACAGAATTAGTAAACAATTTTTAAAAATAAGGCTTGTAAGGATATTTTATCAGGAGCATATTTCAAGTGGAAATAGCAAAAATGAGGGCTCTATGGATGATGTAAATAAATAAGGAGTTTTGGGATATTCTGGTATTCAAGACCTTAACTTGTAGAACTGTGGTAGTATGTGCATTATATCTGACAGCCAAAAAGCAAAAGGTCAAAGTAAGTTAGAAACATCATTGAATTACCTGTACAATCTGCATAAGAGTTTGCATAAAACTCAAAGGTCCACTAAATACATCAAAAGACGATCTACTTGCAAATGATCCAAAGGAAGTTTCAGTATTTCCTGTCCCTACCACTCTTTGGTCTTTACAAATTTAGATGGTAAGTAGAAGGGCAGAAGTCAAGCAAGATGAAAGGGGAGCCAAAGAATACTGCACTACTCTGAAATGAATGCACCTTATCCTGTCTCCAAGAAAATGCATTCTTCAGCATTTACAAAGCTGAAGAAATCTCAGCATATGTCAAACAAAAAACTAGTCTTATAGGGACCTCAGCAAGGATACCTGAGATCAGCAGCATGTTTGGATACAACTCTTCTGAACAGGCCTACATATAGTAGAACCAATAGAAGTCTGGTGAAACAGGTATCATGGCCCACCTCATCTCTTTAGACTGAGGGATGGAAAGGGGCTTTTTTTGCTGTGTCTCATCTAATCTGTATCTGTTTGCAAGTCTATTTCATCACTTTCTGGCTGCCTCAACTCCCAACTTGTGACCAATGGTATAGCCCAAACAAGCAGAGTTAGCATCAACACTCCACCTAAGCACTCTTAAGTACTGGAATTCAGGACATTTAAAATGGGAGCATAAGCTGACTCCTTATCATTATATAAAGTTATTTCATTAACATAGTAGTAGATATACAAATATACAATCCCCTTAAGGAAGAACATAGATTTTTCATTGTTTAAGCACATAATTTATCAGATGATATTACGGTACATTATGTTGATGAAATGCATAAAACCTGTTACATCTTTATTGTTTCATATTCAGCTTAGCTAGCTTCACTAAAGGTATTATAGCTTGATCCCACACTTGTAAGGAATCTATTTGGAGGTCTTATCTTTATATCCTCTGCTTTCTTCCCAGGAGGTCTTTCTATATGTAACACACACAAGAATTTAAACATCTTGCTTAAACTTAACATATGTGGATAAAAATACAGGCATCCATGAGATATAATATTACCTGGGAACTGCTACACATAGCAGCATATGTTTTATATATATCCCTCACAAGCATCCATTATAACAACTGGGATGTATCTATTTAGAGAAGGATTATTTAATTACTATGGTCTATTTTACAGCACAGGCTCTCTTTTCCTCTCTCTTACCAGTATTGTCTGGATATTTATCAGCCAGGAACAGCATTATCAACTTTTGAGCTGTTATAAAGAGCTGTGTCTTCATGGGAGACTGACAGGGTTCAGTATTGGTAAGCCCTCAAAGGCATTTTTAAAGTGACAGGTGGTGTCCAAGTCTTCCATCCCAGGATTTCAGGAGCCATGGAGGGGTAGCAGTTCACATTTTGGACCAACTTTCCATACTTATTCAAACTTCAGAGGAAGTGGGTGACATGGAAGATCCTCCTACATTGAGGACCCCATAGTGGAATTTGCCATGTGGCATGCCCCTGCTTCAGGTCTACGTAGATATGAACAGTTGTTTGAGTGAACTGCCTGTTAGAACTGCTGTACAGGACTTCACCTCTTTGCAGATTCTGATTAATTTTCATCGTCAAGAATTGGCTCTAGTTAAATCCATTTCTTATGTCATGCCTCTTGTGACTTTAGTTTCCTAGAGAACGTGAACTATCTTACAATGTAGGTATACATCCTTCAAGAGCAGCATTTGAACCGTGGTTGTGGAGAGAGAAAAACAGAAGAGAGAGACAGATAATGGTCCAAAATAAACAATTTAATAGTGTAACAGGAAAAACCTAAAATAATCTTCCAAAAGAAGTGAGCCTTGATGAGTAATTGAACAACTAAGATGACATGATTTTGGTATTCTATACAAAAATAATCAGTAACAACAAAAATAATGGGCAACTTGATTGAAGGGACTAGAAACACAGAAAGCCTTACACAGGAAAAAAAAAAAACATTGGTCCACTTAGCTCTAAGTAGTGTAATTTAGGTACCTTTGAGTCTGAATCTAATCTTTCAGATGGCAAAATGAGTATTATTTTAAAATGTGGTAAACCTACCAGCATAGCGTAGTAGTTTGACCATTATACTATGACCCTGAAGACCAGGATTTAATTCCCCACTTGGCCATGGAAATCCACTGGGCGACCTTGGGTGAGTCACATGCTCTCAGCCCCAGAAAACCCCATGATAGATTTGCCTTAGGGTTACCATATGTCAAAAACAACTTTAAGACACACAACAACACCTGCCCTGCAAACACATAGTCATTCTGCTGACCAGGAACCTGGATTTCCTCTGCCAAGTCCTGTTCTGTCAGGGCCAGTGAAAGGTCAGTAATGCCTGCAGGAACTGTCAGCAGCTCTTCAGGATTTCAAAGATTTTTTTCCTAGCCTTATCTAGTGATTTTTTTAGGGCAAGGGGGCAGGAATATAAGTTAACTTTCTTCTCTGAAAAACAGAGACAACGAATAAAATTATGCTAGAATCTATTTTCAGTTGTATGTTTACTGGTACAAAACTGCTGACAAGATCTCACCTCTTTTTACATATACATGCACATCTAATCAGTGCCTTAAGTTCAGCACAGTGGCGTTTAAGGGAAAAGACAGGGAGGAAAGGACACACTTCCTCTTCAGGGACAACCATCAAAAAAGCATCTGGAACCAACTTTCTGAATAATGAAACATTCTCTTAAAAGGGAAATGGTTAATATCCAGTTAGATTTAAATAAGCAATGGGAAATCACAACAAACATATACAAATCTCTATTTTCAGTCTGTTCTGAGATATGTTGACAGGCAGCTGCTTGTACTTTAATGCAAATAACAAAACTTTGGTGCATATATTATATGCATCAGGCTTTGGGTGTGTATTTGTTTTTAAGCTTGTGTGTGTATATGTATGTGTCTGTGTGTATTAAAAAATATTCTACCACCCAATCTGTATTGTTAATGAAGGCATTTTACTGTTAGTAAAATGGTCAATACCCATGCTGGCTAAGAGATGCTGGGAAGTGTATTCCAAAACCCAAGCTGTATTTGGCTTTACCTGTTGCCAGATGTTTCACACATTAATACAGATTTTAAGAAGTAACCTCCTTGGATCCAAGCACTAATTACCTTCTCAAGCTAAATATGGGCACAGGTTTTCTCATATATGGAATGCTGTGTTCCTTCTAATTCTATACCATTTAATAATTTATGCAGATTAAGTAACTATTCTACAGAAATTAAGTATATATTTTTAAAATAATGTGAATACATAACAAGACCATGGAAGCCAGAGGGCACTAATATCCATATATTAGGTAAGCAATATGTACAACCAGTTTTATCCAGCAGAGCTCAGCCAGCACAGGGAGTGTTATAATTTACTGCTTTTCTTGGTAAACCACAGAAAAGAAAAAGAGTAATGCCTTTCAGGCACAATGTTTCTTTCAATTATGTTTGGAGTGGCAGAGTTTCACACCTCCAGCCTAAGGCAGAATTCCAAAGATTATGAAATCTACTCAAAATATATATAGTAAGTCATTCATCTTGATAGACATCTTAAATCTATCCAAATGGCATAAACACTAAATGGCAAGAATTGGAATATATGAAAAAGGAATATTCTACTCCTTTTAAATTCCCAAGTTGGTTATTTTGCATGCATGATACAGAACTCAAGATTAATAAAATGATTGTACATAAAGCTCTGTATTGTGCCAAGCACACTCGTGTCCTGTGCCAGAGAAACTCAAATTCTGTGACTAGACTTAATCATGTAAATTAAGTAAGAGTGCATCCATATGATTGTATTGAATAAATTATTCTGCTTGCAAAGCTTAGCATATTACTTTTGAAAATGTTTCCACTACATACTTTATCACATCAGATTTGCATGGTTAACATTTTGTGTGAATGTGCTGTTTGTTATACATGAAGAACTGACATTTATCATGCCAGTACAAGCTTCACTCTCTAGTGGTTCCCTCTAGCTTGTAGAAAGGTCATGTGTTCAACATTAAGAGGACAGCTGTCCACTTGAAAAACTCATCAGAAGCCAGTTCTTTGTCTGAAGGCATTCTCCACTGGAAGGACTGTCCAGTCTGCATCTAGATTAAGATGTGGGTATGTATGTGCTTTCAATTTCCCCATCTACTTATTGCAACCCCATGAATTTCATAGGGATTTCATAGGCAAGGAATACAAAGAGGTAGTTTTGCCAGTTCCTTCCTCTGAAATACAGCCTACGGCACCTGTTATTTACTGATGATCTTCTGTTCAAAGACTACCCAGAGCTGACTTTGCTTAGCTTCCAAAATCAGGTGGGATCAGTGCCTTTAGGGTATTTAGGCCCTCTGGACTGAAATAAAGAAACTTTAAAAAAGAGAGAAGGGGCCTTGAAGTTGCCAACCAAAGATCAGGAACATAAATCACTTTGCTTAGCCTTCCCCATAATGATAAGATCACTTCTATTTTAATTACAGTAATTCATCTGAAAAGCAAGTTTATACATACAAATTATTATGCAAAATAGCAATGCATTTTTTTGTATCAGTGCTTAAGTGGCCATCCTTCCAGCATGTCATTACCACTCATGGGTGCACTTAGATGACATATTCTGCGTGGCAGAGTTCAATTAGATAGCCTTTGCAGTCTCTTTCACTCTATGATTCTATGATTCA